TATTTTTTCCTTTGACTTACTGCATAGCTTGGCAAGGCATTCACATTTTCTAATAGGTAAAGCGAGTATGATATCCAACTCAGTGTTCGTCAGAATTTTTCTTTTCAGGCTCAGATACTATTGTCATATGTGATAACATATGTGTCTTTATGTGATAACAGGCATGATGGATCTCCAAGTCCAAGTTTTAGTATAAAACTGTAAATAAAATATTTATTGTGTTCAGTGCAAATTGCTACTGCTTTTTAGAAGGACAGGTAGTAAATTTAGGAGTTACTCGCAACAGAAATGTGGCCATGTAATAGCTCCGTGATATTTCTGTAGAATTAACTGACTCTTCAGTCAATACCTTCTAACTCTGCACTCATGTTCTGCATCTTCCTCACTGTTTCACTCGCACTTGGCAAGCTGTGAAAGGAGTGTGCTGGCAGTAGTGACTGAGCACCTGACCCTGTGCAAAGCCACAAACCTCTAGACTGCACGAAGATGCTCAGCAGCCCGTGGCACTCTCTCTCTCGTTCACACGCTCTCATACGCTGTCACGCGCACCCCATTCCCTCTTCAGTGAACAGGGAAGATTACATGGAAAGATGCCAAGGCACACATACTGCAAAGTGTTACCTACGAATACTCCAGTTCGTTAGACCAAAAGATGTGGCTGATGGGCTTTCACTACTGTCTTAGGCCTCTCTGCATCCCTGTATGCTCTCTGCTACATAGGGAACCAAGGTTATCCCATTTTACAGGTTTTATAGAAGCTTTTCAGATTTACTTAATGTGAAAATGAGCATTCTTTTTTCTCAGGTACAAATCTGAAATTACTTCCCTGCAAGCAGTCAGGGAAGACTTCAAATTTTTTGTAATATAATTGACATCAGAGTGTAGATCATAGATATACAGGGATAGATTAAATCTTGGATTGTAGGGGCAAATTAAGACCCTGAAGGTTATGCACAGGTTAGAGTCCAGTGTGCTGGTTGGAGGGTATGAGGCAGAAGTGGGTCTGTTGTCAATGTAGTGATGAGGGTGTTATTTAGGTGAAAAAGAATGGTATACCTTTTTGATACTTCAGAACGCAAATAGGAACAAAAGAGTTTAAGGTTCACAAGTGGATGATGTGCCCCATACTGGTTAACTCTGAAATACAATTTTCAAATGTTTTAAGTGCCGATCTACAATACTCTGCCAAACTTCTTGTTTAGAGTTTCCAGTTGTATTATAACTAGATATTTTTTCTGTGGATTAGGGAACAAAAAATATTTCACCTATTGGGTGAAATGTGTTTACTATATTATATGCATTTTTCACAAGCCCCTTTTTTTTGTTTTGAAAGATGACTGGATATTACTGGCTATATGGGTTGTTGGTAACCACAGGCAGATGGGGAAGCTATGACTTTGATTTTCAGTTTGGGTTGCAGTCTGTTATAAGGTCTTCTCTAATGCAAATAGGAGGAAACTTAAAGCATTTGTCTGGAATGTGTCTGGCCTTAAATACAGACATGCTTCATGTTTCCATTCTGTAGGATGGAAACTCAAATACTTGACGTCAGCAAACACGGAGAACTCTCAGCATACTCAGTGACGTAATTTTTGGCTCCAAAGTTTAATGTGACAGTTGTAAATACGGGGCTCAAGCATGGACTGAAGCCCATGGGAGCAAGCGAGCACCTGCAAACTGCAGGCCATATGCATTTCCTTATAAACAAAGCTGAAAGAGTTGTCCACCACAGTGCTTCTGTAGTATTATCCAACTACCACTTTTCCATGTAAAAAGTAGAATTTCTTTCATGCTGCTGCTTAATTCCCTGTTGTCTTTGTTCATCAATTCTGAAGCAGAGGCATGATCAGAAGTGAAACAGCTTGTGTCTCCCCAGCTGCAGGTCTCAGGGCTGCCTTAATTCACGCCCTTACTAGAAGTGGTGTTATGCACAACTGTGAGATTAGAGATAAAAGAATACTACCCCGGTTTCACTCAGAATGGTCTCTTCTCCCTCAGACAGCCTCCAATAGAGGGACAGGATGAGAAAAAATAACATCAGCCTTTTGAATACCTGTCTGGTGTGTTGCTCCATCTAAAAGACTTGTCTAAAAGAATCTTTTTCTTATTTCCTTTTCTTATTTTCTGCTTAGAAAATTGTATCGTGAAGGTGATCATATAATGTAGTTTGACTGGTATCTTTGGAACTGCAGATGTGCCAAATCAGTATTGCCAAATTGCAATAGATTGTGCTCATTATTTGAAGTACATGTATTATCTTGTGCTGGCCCAATTGAAATCTCTCTAATTTCTATTACAGTTGCAAAACTTAACTTACCTTGTATTGAAGACAACAGATGTATCTGAGGAAAGTGAAAAGAGCAGAGTTCCACATGTATCAATTAAGTTAACATTTGCTCTCAATAATCTTGTTTGGAATGACTGTATAAGTAGGCAACTGCATTGTACACTGATGAAAAATATTATAGCTTGATCAAGGGTTCAAAATTGTCAGCTTAAAAAAAAAAAAGGACAAAAATGCTTTGTATTTGTAAACCCAATAAATTTGCTTCGGAAGTCATTTAGATGCTGTATAAATGACTGTTAAGGTGCAATTTTTCAGTAAGCTTAAAAGCAGAGCACCAGACTTAGATTTTGCACTTCTGTAATCTAGGAGCAAAACTTTTTTCTCTGTTTTAACAGCTATAATGGGAGAACACTGAACTAGCAAATGATTTTTATACCTAATCCTTGTTCCACGTTTTTCCTTCCAATTTTTGTCTCATAAAACTGGTCATGGAAGTTAATACAACTTATTAGTCCGCAGAAGTCACAGTATGAAGAAACAAAAAGCTGTACATCAAAAGCTCTTCTGTGCAGACAGTGCAGACACAAAACTTTCTTTGTGATGAATGTGCAGAGTTAGCTCTGCCACTCTAAATCAGCACTAATTTGCCTAAATTCTAGCACTGCAGTAAAATAACAGCCTTTGTTCTTTTAGGGCCTTTACTTTTGTTTCCAAAATGCTGGCAGGCAGGAAGCATTGATTTAACAACCCAAAAAATCAACTTCCTGTGTGCAGAATTGATTGGAATTTGCCTATTTATGCTTTCATTTACTCAAATGGTCTCCTTTTCTTGTGGCGGTGATATATGCTGGTATAAGTTAGTCTTGATTTATTTGTGTTAGTAATACGTACCAGTCATTACAGCATCAAAGCAAAACAATTTATAGTTTCCAGCAGCTTCAAGAGTCTTTGGTACCTGGAAATTACAGGAATCACTGTTAGCTAGATCTCTTCTTTTTTGCTGTCCCCTTGCATGCAAATAATAACATGACTGTTTGCAGCAAGTAAGGTGTGGAATCCAGTGAAACAGTCTGAAGACAGACTGAAAGCAAGTATAATCGTGGCCCCCATCAAAAATTGCAGAGAGATTTGGGTAAATGTTTAAGCCCAGATAGATGCTCAGTGACATTTCAATCAGATTTTGATACAAGTGGCCTTTAACAAGCCTGCTACAAAATTATCACATGCTTTTGTGAGTGTCATGACAATGAGGTATTCTGTTGTGTGTGCATATAAGTAGGCATATGGCTTCTTAATTTAACTTCAAGCACAAGTCCTGTTCAAAGCTAGTTTGAGGGAAAATGGCCACTTTTTTGTATTTAGTAGTAATTGCTATCTAATTAATGTTAGCTGCATGGAGGCCTTACGTCTTTTGACTGACAGTTAGTTCAGCATCCTGTTTTTCAGCAGTACAGCAATTCAGCAATACAGACTAGAGACATTTGTATGTTTTCTATAGTAGACTACTGGTTAGAATGAGAAAATAATCAAAGAGCATTTGGTGAAAGTATGAGAAATTATATCCCTAGGCAGGCTGAACAAGCAACATTCATACTGTGTTAGAGTAGTGGTACCATGACCGGAGGAGTTTGTCTGGAATTCCCGGAAGCTGAAGGAGTGCAGTAGCCAGGTCAGGAAAACAAAACAATAGGAGAAAGCAGAGGCATAAAGATTTGGGCTATGGAGAAAGAGAGTAATACTGATGGTGCTAAAGAAACTTTGGTAGGGGGCTTGGTTTTGGTTTGGCATTGGCTTCCCAGGGTCACTCCTTCAGTGCAGAACGGGGCTGTGCTGAGTGGGCAGCTGACCCCCAGAAGAACATGGCAAAATCAGCCCCCAACAGCCTCTGCTAGTTTGTTTCTTCCTGTAGTCAGAAATTCAGATTCCTTGGCAGTCCCTGTGCTGGCAGAGCTTGTGTGACATAGTTTGGGCATGGGAATTCACTCTTGCAGGCCACAGTTAGCTTAACTTTAATATCATTATATAAATTATAAAATCATTATTTCTCAACTCATGTATTTTGACATTCCTGAGGTCATACCCATGTACTTTTCCTTCAGGCTATATATAAAACATATCTAGTGAATTAAGGTCTCCTGTTTAAGAGAAAAGAACACTTGGATAATTAATTGTAAAATGATATAAATATAATTTTTGAAAGTATAAACATTTTCAGGGCAGATTTGCATCCTGGGTGAATAGATCCTGATTGAAACTCCTAAGTGGCTGCCATAATCAAATTATATAATAATACTAGTAATAATACAAGATCAACTCTAATGTAACATCTGGAGTAGTTAAGTTTACCTCCCCTTAATAATCTGTTGAACTCTGGTCTGATAGAAGGGGTTTTGAGCTTAGGCATAGTTTTACATTGATGTAAACACTACAAAATTTTTGTTAATTTTGAAACTTCTTATTCCAGTTTATAAACAAACTTTGCAATTTTTTTTTTAAATATCCTGCCAAAGTCACAACTGAAAAATAGGAACTTTCATAATGGTCCGACAAATAGTTGGCACATTTTTCACTTAGTAGTCAAGGAATCAAAAAAAAAAAAAGCTGTGAAAAAGCTCAGTGTGTTTCTTAACAATATGGTATATGGCTTCTACTTCCTTAAAAAAAAATACAGAAACTCATGGCTCGATTATCCTCACTGTGATTCATCAGCTGCTGTCTCCTAGGCAGGTCCAACGGCTGATTGGGCATAACACTTCTCACGGTGTGTCTTTTAACAGGAGATTCTTACGCTTTTAACACTACATAAATGGACTATGATAACCTCCTTGAATGGTAAGATCTGTTATATATATTTATTAATCATTGCCATCTAATTGTTATAAACAGTGTTCACGGGTTAATAATAAATGTATAGATGTGCTAGCAGACATGTTTCCAAACCAGCCTTCTGCAGGTTTAAAATTTAGAAGGATCTTAATCTTGGATCTTAATCATGGGAGTTATTGCTCAGTATGTTCGCATTCTTCTTAAAATTCTTAATTGAGCAAAATGTGATTATATAATAGTAAAGGTTAATCTGAAATCCACAAAGGATGAGATAAAAATCCTTGTAAGAGCGTACTTATTGCAGTACTTTGAGAAAGTGCTGCAATAAGATTTTACATGGTATATATTTTTCATAAAAATGTAATTTTAAATATTGGCAAGTTAGTGCAGGAAATCTTTCTTCTCATGTATTATGATCAGAGCATTTTTTTCAGACTTTTGAGTTGAGGTTAGATTTTTTTTTGGTCAATTTATCAATTGGAATTATTTGGGAAATAAAATGAACTTTACTTTAACAGATCTTTTTAGCTGCCTTTGGAAAAATAAGGGAGAAGCTTGAGGAAAAATGCAGGAAATTGTTGAATACATTTTTCTTTTGTGATTGATAGTTTTATGTCAAATTTGCTATTAAAATACAAGATGCAGTGATTGCTTTGAGATAGACACAGAGGAGCTGAAAAGATTTGAAACATGCTACATATTTGCATGTAAATATCTGTGATCTAACACTGTTGGGAGTGTGGTAGAAAAGGCTTAAGAAAACAGCAGCTGTAATGCTCGGTGAGAGTAACGTCTGCTTTTCCCGCTTTGACAGCAGCATTGCTTAGAGCTCGTTTCACATGACTGTACATGTTTCTGCTCTTGGAAAAATGTTGTAGTCATGGCACAAGCATCAACCTTCTACATGAGGGATGATACAATGAGCCATACTAAAAAGAGCTGGGTTTTCATTTTGACGTTAAACAATAATGCTGGTATTCTTAGCAAATACATAACTGAGCACAAAGGACCTTCAATGGTAAATAACTTGTTTTAAGAGACAGGTATTAAAGAATGAAATACTTCACCAATGTGTCAGAAATATAAAGATTTCTCAGATGCTCAGGCAAAGGTTTTTTGCTATTAAGTTACATGAAGTGGGTTCTAGTGTGTCCGCATATTTCTTGGTTTTGAAGCACCAATTTTAGGCTTTAGAATAGTAGAATCCTGTTCTTTACATCAGTAGCATCTCCATAGTTAATTTAATTATTGAGTGGATTTGTTCTCAGAATATTAACTCTGAGCACCATTCAACACCGGAGGGTACCAAAATGCAATAGAATATCCACAAATTCCCTGTAAAATGGTATTATATACATAATACAGCTTTTCTAAACGTTGCAGTCTTGATTCTCTCAGCCTTCTCTTGTTTGAGTGCCCATCACCATTATACTGCAATATCAGAAAATGCTCCCGGCTCTAGGTTTCCTTATAAAGATAGCAAGACATTCTTGTCACGAGCAGCTGGCACCATCAAGGAAAGATTTTCAAGTATGCATATAAACTTTGCTTAGCTATAGCAGCAATTCATGTTATGTCTTTGCTTGTCTTGCTTGTGCAGGCTTTAGTTCCATGTAGGGGTCAGAAGCTGGGGTTTCTGCTTCTATATGCCATGCTATCAGCAATAGAAGAAGGTAGTAGTAAGAACTTTGAAATGTATTTATCATCTTAGTGGTGTGATTATTTTTCTAGTTCTGTTATTGATGTGATGTTCTTGTCCAAGTTGAAGCTTTTAGGAGACACCCATGTTCATCTGGTCATGCTCATTTTCTCAAAGTCTTGCAGCCAGTGTCCTTCAGTACAAGGGGAACCAAAACATCCTCTCTTTGGAATTCATCAGTACTAATGATGGAGCCACTTGCATTTCAGGAGCTTACCAGTTTGACTTCAAGAAATTAAACATTGTGCCTTTTTTCCTTGAATGGGAAAAAAATTAACATACTCTGACTGTATGACAGAGGACATTTTCCAGCACATTTTTACTTTCAAAAGGTGAGGAATACCATCCCTTATAGTCCCTACTTGCAGAGGACCTGCAGAGTATTTCTAAAGTTGGTTATAGTTCTGGAAGCAGTTAGGGAGGATATATGTTTCTGGCTGAAGAATACTCTAAGACAATGTATGAGACGAGTGCTGGATAATCATCCAGGAGTTTACAGTCTGCATGATGGTGGCCTGAATGAGCGAAGGTCCTATGTGTGAATGCACATTTGATCAGTGCTTGCAAAGAAGCAAGTGCTTCTTTGTGTCTTTCTCTGTGGTCACACTCAGTAATAAACTGAGTTCAACTAATAAGCTGCTAAGTCTAAAATTCTGAAAAGCAACCACTAATATGGTGCCCTCTTTTTTTTCTTTTTTTTTTTTTTTTTTGCCCCTGCAGCTGATTGCAATCACCATCTTAATGTTTAGATGCTTACATACTTGATTTATTGCTTTGAAGACTGATATCTAAGTGCAGTATTGGTTCCTGCTGTAAGTTACACCTTCAAATTGTTTTTGCACTGGCTTATATGCTTAGAATTGTAATTAGATGCCGGGCTAAGAGCTCTTTAAAAATGAGTCCTTTGTGTCACATAAAAGGGTTTCTGAAAAGAAGAAAAATAATCTAGGCACTGTTGGAGTCTTTTCTGCATATTTTTAATGAAAGGCCTGTCACTTTATTTGCTGGAGTAGTGTCATCAGATTAGTGCTGCTTTCTTAACTGTGTCTAATCTCATTTGATTCAAGCATCATGGAATGAAAAAAAATCAATCTAGCATAGATTTGTTTTGAAATAAAGCTTTTTTTAGCATATATATTTAATTAGCTAAGAGGAATTAGCTGATGCTATTAGGAAAGAATCTGAGCTAGCAAATTGGATGCAACCCTATGAAACTTTAGGGAAGTTTTGGTGTGGAAACCAGGAACTTTCAATCTGACTGTTTTCCTTTATGCTGACATTTTTTAATTTAGCAGAGCTCAGTTAGCAGAAATTAAAACAAAAGTTTGTCTACATGTTTTCAGTAAATCTTTCAATGATGTGAAGCATTTCTTCTAGTTAGTCCCCTTCCACCTAGCTATGAAATCAAAAAGATTAATATTTGTCTACATCTATGAAGCAACTGCAGGAAATGTAAGAGTATAAGCAACTCAGTCCTTTACATATCAATATATAAAATGCAAGTCAAGTGAACTTTGCATTGTTAGAGCAATGACCTTCAACCAAACTCTGAGTCAAGAATTTCTGTTTCCAAGGCTGCTCATTCTTGCTGAGCATTTTCCTGGCATAATGTATGGCTCTTCTGCGGTGTATTGTTTGCTGGAGAATGAATGAAGGCTCTCTGGCTCATTTATCCTATTATCTCATTTGAGATTTGAGCTATGTTGTGAGAAATGAGAAGGTCCAGTGCTCTCACTTTCCATTTTAATCTCTTCATCATTAGGCTTGCTATGGCAATTCCTTGTTGCATTAATATTTTTTTCAGCTATAGAACTTAGTGGTAGTTTTGGAGAGTTTGTAAAAGTTGAGTGGTTTTGAATAGTAGCTAGCACTTGCTGTATATAGTATAGTTGTTCCTTTTGAAGCTCTCCATCAGCAGCAGTATGAGGAAAAAAAATCTGTATTTTTAATAATTTTATTTCACTTCCTCCATACTCTGTCTTCCTTTTCAGTGTTATTGGATTTTTTTTGTGTTTTTTGCTTGTCAGTTGAAATTAGGCCTATCATTTTATCATAACTCTGATATAAAAGGTACAGCAAACTGAAAAGTTTAAAAAAAGGGGGGAGGGAGGCAAAAAAGGATTCACTTTATATCTGGGCAGATACCATTTAAGAATAGAAATACTGTTATCTAACATAAATGTTTTGATTTCCAAAGATGTGTAAGAATAGATAAATTGTTTTTTGTTAACTCCTGAAAGGATAAGACATATGTATTTATATCTATCATATTTATACATAATTATTAGAAGTCTTTCTTTTAAAAATAATTTATTTGAATAAAAAATTAGACCCAAGAGATTATGCAGGGGTATTTTCAGTAGTGTCATTGAAATTACACATAGGCTGAATCTGCTTGTCTGGGTTTAAAGACCAAGTTTTGAAAAGGTACTTTATAAGGACTCTGAGCTGCATGTGTGATTTACTTTGCAGATGCTAAAATAAAGGTAAAAATTTAATCAGATGCCCATTTCAGTAATCACATGAGGAACATTTTCCATTTCAAATATTCCTTAATGGGAATACATAAGACCTTTCTGTAACAAATAACAGTCTTTTGTGCGATTAGCTTTAGCTGGATTATATCATAGAATTGCCTTGCATTTGTTAACCTTCTGTTAGGTCTGCATGGCTTGCTAAGAAAATAACATAACCTGTTTTTACAGGGTGCAGTATGACATGGACATAGTTTAGACATGGGTTTTGGGAGAACAAAATAAATCCTTGTACCAATTTTCTTTCTTGAATTAATTATTCAAGAAATGTAAAGGCAAAAATCTGTGTTTATAACTCCATTAACTGATGTTATTAGGCTAAACTGTCATTAGTAACCTTAAAGAAAAACTGATTATTATTAAAATAAAAAAAATTTAAAGTCTTTTTTGATCAAAGTTCCAAAATAAAACTATGATCCTAGTGAATGTATGAGCTGGCTGGGGCACCTCTGCACTGTGCACACATCACTGATGAATAGCTGAGGTTGTTGTCTCTATCTGAGAGCAGAGGTAAGGAGCATTAATTAAGTTAGCAAAGAACAATGTGCGGAAAGCCTCATATGCTCCTGTAAGGAGGGCTGTTATTAAATAGACTGCAACACCATTCCTGGAATAACTGCATCAGTTCTCTAAAATGAAAATTGAATGTTCCATTCTAGCAGAGAGTCCTTCAGTGCTGATGTCTATAAGAGCATCTGTTTTCTCAGGTATAAAGGAGACATCCAGGACTTGACACTTTTATATTGGAAATACTTGGATTCTAAATACAACAT